AAATAACACAACTAACTAAACAAAACAAAATGAAAGCAGCAAAGATAAGGGTGTAAAAATGCAAATCTGATTGGGTTAGCGATTCCAAAGTCTCCCTTCGTTGAATGCTTGGGTTGCCTCCCAAGAAGCGCTTGATTTAACGTCTTTAGCCGGACGCATCTTTCCTTTAAATTTCCCTCAGCTCCATTTGTGCCTAAAATCAAGAAAGAAAAAAAAAAATAAATCAAATATCAAAAGTAAAATACACAAACACCAATATAAACATAAACAAAAACAAAAATAAAAGGATTAGCAAAGTTACTAATCCCCGGCAACGGCGCCAAAATTTGATGCGTAAAATAAGTTAACACACAAAATTAAACCCTCTTTTTGACAATTGTAGTATAGATGTAAGTAGGGTATCGTTCTAGGCCGGGGATTAGGAGGGATTGCTAATCTATTCTAAATTAATTTAAAAAAATATTAAATAAGACTCAAGGACACAAAACTAGGCTAAAAACTCTAATAACTCGAAACACACTTAGAATGACTCAAAATAATGAAAACAATCAATCAAATTAAACACTAGGAACTGAAATGGACGGAAATTAAATTAAAAGACTAACAATAAAGAAAACTAACTAAAAATATAATAATAATATAATTTAACAATGGATGGGTGTTTGGTTTTGATGAAAAGTAAATCAAACTTAATTAAATTACAGAATTTTACAAAAACATGAAATTAAAATGAAAAGATAAATGACAGACTAGCTAGAGGGTTATTCTCCACACATGTTATACTTGCATACAAAAAATGATTTCCAGTTGTTCATTTAATAAATTTTGAATCTCAATACTCCAGATTAACCGTGAATAGCACTTTTTTAATCTTCAAGTTTTCCTTAAGTTATTGAATTGGACGGAAAAACGCATACAACAACAATTCAAAACATTCTTCAAAAGTCCCCTACGTGAAAAGCACAATAGCGATACAATCAAAGATCATTAAACTTTGTGAAAACTATAAGCATTGACGAGGCATTCGTAACTATGAAAAGCATGATACTCTTGCCAAGAATTTACTTAACGTGATTGTGACTAGCAACCTTTACTACTTGTGAAAATAAGTTCATAACGATTAGGTGAAATTCACTTATATTCTAGCATCAAATTCATGCATGTAAATTAAGCGTGCACTCTCAACCAACATACACAAATCAGTTTTTATACGAACGGATAAGTAAATTGAAATCACAACTTATGAAATCACAACCGAAGGTAATCAATTCATATTACAAATATATTCATGGTTTCGAATTAACCTCTAGCCAAAATAAAATTAATTACACATTATTAAAACAAAAATAAAATAGGAGTTTGGAAAGATTAAACCGAAAGAAGGTGATCTGCTGCTTTCGCGCCCGTGTGAACTGCGCCTCGCTGGCCTGCCTTCCTGGTTTTTCACGCTGCCAAGGCAGCGTGCTGACTTTCCTTTCCGCGCGTCAACTGCCAGCTGCCAAAGGCAGCTTGTATTCCCGTACTGCCTTCCTGTTCTCACGTTGCCTTTCCGCCTGGCCTGCGTCTCTGCGAGCTGCCAAGAGGCAGCTCCCTCTCCCCCTGTCTTTTTTCACGCTGCCAAAGGCAGCATCCCCTCCGGTTTCTTCTGTTCTTTGCGCCTTTATGAGCTGCCCAAAGGGCAGCCCCTTTCTCCTTCCCCCCCTATTATTTTTCTACTTTCTGTGTGCTGTTCAAAGCTGCCAAAGGCAGCTCTTTTATTTTTCTTTTTTCTATTCCTTGCGCTACTCTGTCCGTCCCCCCCGTGTCTCCCCAATTTCTTTCTTGTTTCTCCTTTTTTTTCTTTCCAGCTGCAAAGGCAGCTTCCTTTTAATTTTTTTATTCCTCTTTCTGGCAGCCTTGCTGCCTTTCTCTCTTGGATCCGTCTTTCTCTCTCTCCAATTGTACAATATTCTTCTGCTCTATATACATCCTTGATCAGTCATGGCTTGAGCAATAGTCAGAAAAGCAGAAATGATGGCTCCGTGGACCAAAGACCTGTCAAGCATGTAAGAAAAATTGATTCTTGGAGTGTTTAACGTTAACAGTACGCAACTTTTACATAGCCAGCCCAAAAATCACAACAACAGAAGCTATCTACTTTCTATTTTTTATTTTTTTCTTTTCTGTTTATTATTTAAAACTCATTTGTGCTATTTTATTTTCTTAGCATAACAATTTCTATAAATACAAAAATAACGTAAATAACTCAAAATATAAAGAACTAACTAAGAAAAGACGAGTGAATTCGAAATAAAAATATATATAAAATATGATCCGATCAAAAGTCATCCATAAATACCTCAATGAATCTTTCTACCATGTCAGAAAAAATAGCCAACATACATCTTTGGAAAGTTGCTGGAGCATTGCAAAGTCCAAACGGCATTCTCCTATATGCAAATGTGCCAAAGGGGCAAGTAAAGGTAGTTTTCTCTTGATCCTCTGGAGCAATTGCAATTTGATTGTAACCTGAGTAACCATCCAGAAAACAATAGTGTGAGTAACCTGCCAATCTCTCAAGCATTTGATCTATGAAAGGCATAGGAAAGTAATCTTTTCTAGTGCTAGAATTCAACTTCCTGTAGTCGGTGCAAACACGCCAACTAGCTGTGGGCTTTGTGGGCACAAGCTCTTTGTTTTCATTTGTCATCACTGTGATTCCCACCTTCTTGGGTACCACCTGAATAGCACTCACCCATTTGCTATCAGAAATGGGATATATGATTCCCACATCTAACAACTTCAACACTTCATTCCTCACAACTTCCTTCATGTGTGGATTGAGCCTTCTTTGTGGCTCACGGGTTGACTTTGATCCATCCTCCAAAAGAATCCTATGCATGCACATAGTAGGGCTTATTCCCTTGATATCTGCAATAGACCACCCAATAGCCGTTTTAGACTCTTTTAACACCCTCATTAGTTTTATCTTCTTCATTTGGATTCAGGTCAGAAGCTATGATAACAGGAAGAGTTTTCAAATTCAGCTAGATATGCATATTTAAGATGTGGTGGAAGTGGTTTAAGTTCAAGTTTTGGTGCCTTAACAATGGAAGGTATTAAATGTGACCTAGATGATTCTAAATGCTCTACAAGAGGTGAAACATTTAAAGGATACGGTGCCAATGCTTCCAAGGTAGCTACCACTTCCATGAGTGCATCTTCTTCATCAAACTAATCTTGAGATTGAGTCAAAACAGTTTTGTAATGGTTCAATAGATTGTGCCTGCAAGAACTTAGAGAGAAAACAATTGAATCAAGCACATCAATGGCATAGCACTCAAGAGATGAAGAAGGATGAGAAAGAGACTCAAACACTTTAAATTGCACGGTCTTTCCTAGCACTGTCATAGTGAGGAGTCCATTTTGCACATCAATGATGGTCTTGGCCGTGGCCATGAATGGTCTTCCAAGCAAAATAGGCAACTCTCGGTCATGTATAGGCGCTTCTTCCATGTCCAACACTACAAAATCCGCAGGCAAGATTAGTTTATCAATTTGAACTAGAATATCCTCTACTATACCTCTTGGATACTTCACGGATCTGTCCGCAAGTTGTAATGAAATGGTGGTGGCTTTCAATTCCCCCAAACCTAGTTGAAGATACACAGAATAAGGCATTAAGTTGATGCTAGCACCCAAATCAAGCATTGCCTTTTCAACTTTATTTTCTCCTATGGTAATGTTGATAGAGAAACTCCCTAGATCTTTAAGCTTTGGTGNGATCAGTCATGGCTTGAGCAATAGTCAGAAAAGCAGAAATGATGGCTCCGTGGACCAAAGACCTGTCAAGCATGTAAGAAAAATTGATTCTTGGAGTGTTTAACGTTAACAGTACGCAACTTTTACATAGCCAGCCCAAAAATCACAACAACAGAAGCTATCTACTTTCTATTTTTTATTTTTTTCTTTTCTGTTTATTATTTAAAACTCATTTGTGCTATTTTATTTTCTTAGCATAACAATTTCTATAAATACAAAAATAACGTAAATAACTCAAAATATAAAGAACTAACTAAGAAAAGACGAGTGAATTCGAAATAAAAATATATATAAATATGATCCGATCAAAAGTCATCCATAAATACCTCAATGAATCTTTCTACCATGTCAGAAAAAATAGCCAACATACATCTTTGGAAAGTTGCTGGAGCATTGCAAAGTCCAAACGGCATTCTCCTATATGCAAATGTGCCAAAGGGGCAAGTAAAGGTAGTTTTCTCTTGATCCTCTGGAGCAATTGCAATTTGATTGTAACCTGAGTAACCATCCAGAAAACAATAGTGTGAGTAACCTGCCAATCTCTCAAGCATTTGATCTATGAAAGGCATAGGAAAGTAATCTTTTCTAGTGCTAGAATTCAACTTCCTGTAGTCGGTGCAAACACGCCAACTAGCTGTGGGCTTTGTGGGCACAAGCTCTTTGTTTTCATTTGTCATCACTGTGATTCCCACCTTCTTGGGTACCACCTGAATAGCACTCACCCATTTGCTATCAGAAATGGGATATATGATTCCCACATCTAACAACTTCAACACTTCATTCCTCACAACTTCCTTCATGTGTGGATTGAGCCTTCTTTGTGGCTCACGGGTTGACTTTGATCCATCCTCCAAAAGAATCCTATGCATGCACATAGTAGGGCTTATTCCCTTGATATCTGCAATAGACCACCCAATAGCCGTTTTAGACTCTTTTAACACCCTCATTAGTTTATCTTCTTCATTTGGATTCAGGTCAGAAGCTATGATAACAGGAAGAGTTTCAAATTCAGCTAGATATGCATATTTAAGATGTGGTGGAAGTGGTTTAAGTTCAAGTTTTGGTGCCTTAACAATGGAAGGTATTAAATGTGACCTAGATGATTCTAAATGCTCTACAAGAGGTGAAACATTTAAAGGATACGGTGCCAATGCTTCCAAGGTAGCTACCACTTCCATGAGTGCATCTTCTTCATCAAACTAATCTTGAGATTGAGTCAAAACAGTTTGTAATGGTTCAATAGATTGTGCCTGCAAGAACTTAGAGAAAACAATTGAATCAAGCACATCAATGGCATAGCACTCAAGAGATGAAGAAGGATGAGAAAGAGACTCAAACACTTTAAATTGCACGGTCTTTCCTAGCACTGTCATAGTGAGGAGTCCATTTTGCACATCAATGATGGTCTTGGCCGTGGCCATGAATGGTCTTCCAAGCAAAATAGGCAACTCTCGGTCATGTATAGGCGCTTCTTCCATGTCCAACACTACAAAATCCGCAGGCAAGATTAGTTTATCAATTTGAACTAGAATATCCTCTACTATACCTCTTGGATACTTCACGGATCTGTCCGCAAGTTGTAATGAAATGGTGGTGGCTTTCAATTCCCCCAAACCTAGTTGAAGATACACAGAATAAGGCATTAAGTTGATGCTAGCACCCAAATCAAGCATTGCCTTTTCAACTTTATTTTCTCCTATGGTAATGTTGATAGAGAAACTCCCTAGATCTTTAAGCTTTGGTGGAAGTTTTCTTTGCAACACTGCACTTACATTCTCAGACACCACTACCTTCTCATGTGGTCCATACTTCTTTTTGTAGTTGTTTAACTCTTTGAAGAATTTCCCATAAGCTGGCATGTTCCTAATGACATCAAGCAAAGGTAAGTTAACATTCACTTTACTTAGAATATCAAAAATGTCTTTAAATGACTTATCCTGCTTGCTCTTGGCAAGTCTTCCAGGGAATGGTATTGGTGGAGTGTAAGGCTTCTCGGCCTTGTGAAGATTTGGTGCTTCAAATGAGGAATTGGCATGGCTTGGTTCCTCATTTGGTTTCTCATTTTCTCCTTGAGTAACCCCTGCATTCACATGATCAAATTCATTAGTAACTTCATTGCCAACTCTATTATTGATAACCTTACCATTTCTAAGTGTAGTGATTGCTTTGGCTTGCTCTTGGTTCCTTTGGAGTATCACGGGTTGGCTTGGAAACTTTCCAACCTCTCTTTGGTTCAAGGCATCAGCAATCTGTCCCAATTGTGTCTCCATTTTGTTTAAAGCCGCCGAATGTTGTTGGAAAGTGCTATTTGTGGCTTGTTGGAATTGCAAGGTGTTTTGAGCTAACAACTTAACCGTATCCTCAAGTGTAGGGGCAGGTTTTGGTTGGAAGTTTTGGAAATTGTTGTTCTTCCATGAAAGGTTGGGATGATCTCTCCACCCTGGGTTATACGTGTTTGAATACACATCATTCCTTGGCCTTTGATTGTAAGAATTCATGAGGTTCACTTGCTCTTGGACAAATTCGGGGTAGGCTTCCCTAGATGGACATTGATGAGTAAGGTGGTTTGGTATGTTGCAAATGGCACACACCTCATTTGCTTTTGGTACCATGTTGAGCACGGCTTCAAGCTTCTTTCTAGGTTAGATACCTGCAATGAAAGTTCATGATTAGAGCTTGTTTCATATATTCCAACTTTCTTACCCCTTAAATCTTTGTGTTGAGCACTAGATCCCAACATCTCATAAATGTTATATGACTCTTGAGCATTCTTTTTCTTCAAAGCTCCACCTGCTGCATTATCCACAGTTGATTGACACAAGTTTGGGTTAGTCCATCATAAAAAATTTGCATTTGTAAGTGAAGAGGTAACCCATGGTGTGGACATTGCAACAAGAGGCCTTTAAAACGCTCCCAACACTCATTGAAAGGTTCTCCATCATCTTGTTTGAAATTGAAGATTTGTCCCCTTAATGTGGCTGTCTTTTGAGTGGAAAAGAACTTCTCCAAGAACTTCTTAGCCACGGCATCCCATGTGGTGAGGGAACCAGGTGCTAGGGTCATCAACCAACCCTTGGCCCTATCTTTCAAGGTGTAAGGAAATACTCTCATCCTCAAATTTGCTTCACTTACTCCCTGCAAAGGTAAACCACTCACAACGTTATAAAACTCTTTAACATGAGCTAAAGGATCTTCATTAGGTAAGCCATAAAAAGAGGGAAGCATATGGAAATGTGAAGATTTAAGATCATAGTTTCTAGCTTCGGTGGGAAGCAAGATGCATGAAGGTGAATTTGGTATGATTGGTTGAGCAAAGTCCTCCAAAGCTCGAAGTTCATCTTGGTTGTCCGCCATCTCCTCTTCTCTTTCCCAATTAATGTGCTCAGATCCTAAACTTGTTGAACTAGATGAGTTCCCTTCCTCTTCTTCACGGAAATTGGATGAACTTGTTGGCACAAAGTTGTCAAAAGTGTTGCTCTTTAACCGTTCAATTCTTTGGCCTAACTCAACAAGTCTATTTGACATAAACTACCTGAAAACAAAATAAAACAAGTTTGAATATAAATTAGTACTCTACTTAAAATGAAAATAACAAGGGTTCATAACTAAACAAGCAATTACAAGGGACTGAAATCAGTCCCCGGCAACGGCGCCATTTTTGTTATTGATATGTTTTACTCCTTCCCAATGCTAAAACATGTTGAGTATAATAGCACAAGTAAGGGTGTCGAATCCACAGGGACTAATTAGACCTATATAACCACTTGTTTTGCAAGAACCCTATTAGAAAATAAAACTAATCACTTTAGACAGATTTGATGTTGTCACTTGAAACACACGGAAATGAAATGAACACAAGTAAATGAATCTATAAATAATGAAATGAGATAGTATCAATGGAGATGAGGCTAGGGATTCGGTTTCACCATTGCTAAATTGATTCCATGTTTGTTAAGTCAGTTTATGCTCAGCCATCTATCTATTTCTTGAGTTTGTTTCACTTAGATATGATCAACCATATGATATGTGGATTTGATCAAATATTTCTAGTCATGAACCTAATTGTGATGTTCAACTTCGGCTCCTAATCAAGAATGTGTTATGCATAAGAAACTTTCATAAAACCAAAGAAACACTTGGCAGGATGTTTGCAAAACGTTTCCTTCAATCATTCCCATATATCTGCCAAAGTTATGCATGATGTGTGCTTTAAGATTGGCTAGACAACTTATGGTTAATTCAAATGGTGATCAAGCATTAAAACCAACACACAAAGTCACAATTAAATCAGAAAATGAAACAAGAAATAGAAGGATAAACTGAGCATTCCGAATTAACTACATGGCAATCTTGCTAGGCTACATCGAATCCCTAGAATGAGATTAGTTACACTTCATGTTTACAAATGATTTAACATAAAAATATATAACATGAGTGAACATAGAATTGAGAAGAAGAAACCCTTGAAGCAAAACTGATGTTGAAATCCTTTAAGAGTGACCTTCGGTCTTGGTTCTCCAAATGTGATGTAGATGAATAAAGGTTGAGCAGCTTGTGGATGAATGGCTTCTGCAAAAATGGGAGAGAGGATGGACAGAAAATGGAAGCTAGGTGTGTGAGTAATGGTATGGTCGAGAGCTCTCCCAGAAGTGAGTCTTGCAAGGATTTTAAATTGGAACTTCTAAGGAGAACACGCGGCTGGTTGTAGAATAATGGAGCTGCCAATCTGAAAATGATGATGGAATGAGGTGATTTCTGGACTAGCAAGGCACGGCACAAGGGAACACAAGCATGCTTGTGCTTATTTAATTGAAGATGCATGTGGCATGGCTGCAAGGGTGCAGTGGACAAGCTGGAATTGTTCCCACATGCTGGAAAGGGGGGGGGTATGAAAGGCACGGCATGGCTTTGCTTTGAGATGAACATGTGGTTGGATGGTTTAGTTTAATGAAGACACATGTGCTGCTGCAAAAGGGAGCTGGAAATGTAAATGGAATGAATTAAGTAATGGAAGTGCATGTTCTTGGTGCAAAAGGGAATGGAATGCACGGCAAGATTGATACATGCATGTGAATGCATGCTTTGGTGTTTAAAGTGAATGGAAGCCACGGCCAGGTTGTGAACATGCATGTGATTGCATGTTTTGGTGTTAGAACCACATAATCTGAATTCAATGATTTTGCCTTGCCTAGAATCACCCAATATGGCCGAATGCACCACCTTACACTTCCACATGTGTTCCTGAAATTCCATGCAGCCAAAGTAGCTCCTAAATTCTTCATTTGGACTTCAAATTAACTCCCTAGAATCCTCTCCACGTTTGGAATAATGTTCGGCTACCAAAAGGGTTGTTTTTACTTCATTTGTCTTCCCATTGATCCAAATACACACTTGGCTGCACACTAGCACCAAATAATGTAAAAACACAACTAGCTTGATCCAAAACATCACAAAACTACCAAATAAGGGTGATATAAATGTACACAAAATGTATACATCAAATAACAGTTTGGCCCGAGATAGGCTGACTCGAGGGCTACGATTTTCGGCCCAGTATGCGTCTTTTAGGGCAATAGGCTGTTAGCCGATAGGAGCATATTTATGCGACTGAGTTAGCTTATTCACATGCATTTATGTTGTTATTTCTTAGTTAATTATGTATTTTAAGCTATTTTCGTGTATTTGTAGGTCCATAGGCCTTATAAAGCAATAAGATGCATTTTGGTGCATTTTGGAGCAGTTTTGGGCTTGGAATGGATAGCACATGCATGGAGCAAGGTGGATGGACGAAATTGAAGACTAAAGAGGCTAGGAATGTGTTAAAGAGAAAGAAGAATTAGCGTATAAAGTACAAAGAGCTCAGCCACAAAGGGGTGTCACTCCACCATTCACTTTTCCATCATTGCCGTACACCACCATTGCACTCCCTTTGGATTCCTATGCCATGCATCATCATCCATGTTCCCTCCGTTGACTCATTGGCTGCATCATTCCACTTCCTTTCCTTTGTCTACCATGTGCACAATATCCTTTCACCTCCTTGCACTCATTGATTCACCACTTACTCACCTTTCCACCCATGCATGCATAACCACCCTTGTCTCCTTCATTATTTCTGATTTCATGCATCAAAACATTGAATCATTGCTCTCAATTGCTGCACATATCTTGTCCCCTTCACTCATCAGATTTCATACAACTTTTACCTCCACTACATGCACTCATTAATGCACCATCCACCACATTTAGAATCCCATGCCGTGCATCATGAGTCTTGCTGCACCTTTGACTCATTTCTGCATCATTCCACCTCCCTTTCCTATCTCTACCATGTGCAAAAATCATTCATGTTCCCTAGTGATAGTAGCATATTTATGCGACTTAATTGGCTTGTTCTCGTGCATTTACGTTGTGTTTCCTTAGTTATTTTAGTGTTTAAAGTCACTGTTGTGTGTTTTCAGATTCTAAGGGCAAAGTATGCAATTTGGTGCCTTTTGGAGCAAAATTGGGCTTGGAATGATTATCACATGCTTGGAGCAAAAGGAATTGACGTAATTGAAGATTTGAAGAAGTTAGGATTCCTAATCAACGAAGGATTCCTAATTGAAGATGGATTCCTATTCACATGAGGATTCCTAAAAGAACAAGGATTCCTACTTGAAGTAGGAAAGTTAAGCCAAGGTTTCCTATTTTGGTTTGACCTTTCCTAATTCTAAAAGTCCTTATGTTCCAGCCATTTTGAAGACTTCATATGCATTCTAGGACACAAAACAAAGGCCCTAGAACCCTTATGGACCTATGCCACACCTCCCTTGACCTTTCCTCTTCCTTGCCGTGCAAGGGAGAGGGTTCTTTCCTATTTCCTTGCATTAAAACACATTCCTTTTGTGTTTTATGCCCTTGCCGCACCTATTAGTCAATTTCCTTTAAGTTTTTTATTTGATTTCCTATTTCTAGAAGCTTTTGACTTAATTTCTGTTTACCTAAATAACCTAGGGTTTTAATTCCTGAAATCCTTTAAATAAACTTCCTTTTTGCAGCCACAAACCATCCATTCACTCCCATTCACGCCAAAAACCATTCAACCTTCCTTGCCGTGCCCATCCTTCACCAATCTCCATAGTTTCTGACCCAAACACTTCTTGCCGCACCATACATCCATCCTAAACACAATTCTATACTTCTACACCATCCATAACCCCCAAAACTCACCACCAACCCTTGTGCCGCAGCAAAGAGGAAGGAGGAGAGCCCTTGGACGTGCTTGCCATTCGATTTAGGATTGCTGGAACGTTTTAGGTGTAATCTTTCTTTTGCTTTCAATGTTTCAATTCACTAATCTTTGTTTTATGAGTATGAGGAACTAAACGCCTCTTAGTTAGGGGGGGATTCGAAACCATGTACATACTTGCAATATGAATTGATTACCTTCAGTTGTGATTTCATAAGTTGTGGATTCAATTTGTTTAACTGCTTGATTGATAACTTATTTATGTATGTTTATTAAGAATGCACGCTTAGTTTTCATGCATGAATATGATGCTAGAGTATAAGGGAGTTTCACCTAATAGTTACAAACTTATATTCACAAGTAGTGAAGGTCGCTTATAAA